GTTCACGAGAAGAACGACGATGGCGAGGAGCTCTGGGCCTTCCACCCTCGTACCGAGATCGAGGACGAGTAAAGGGAACGCTTGCACAGCTTTCCTTGACTGTTTCTTCTTCTCCTTCCCTCTATTACCCGCTGATGTGCCGCTTGTGGAACTGCTTTGCAGGATTGGCAGCAGCTCTAATCTCATTCCCCATCATTTACCCCAGGGCTGCCATCATGCGTCCTTTGCTCTCGAGCTACAAGTTCCGTCTACCAACTAGAATCACACTCTCTACATGACCCGTTCCGCCAGTCAAGACTCAGGAGCGAGAGGTTTGGCCCTTTCGCTCGATACGATCTAAAACCTTCGACTTCACGTTTCTCAGACGCTCATATTTTTGATATCTACTTTGCTTTTGGCACGATCTGCAATTATTTCGCATCTCTATTCGTCTTTGCTCTGTGTTGAGAAGGCTGTTGACACACTTGTGAGTGAAAATACCTGCTGTGCTGAGCTCTGAGTTCTTAGCGTCCATTAGCAGGGGGATGAGTGGTCCATAGTGAAGAGCGAGGCAATCTTCCGCATTTGCGGTGGAACAGTGGACCGGTAAGATTCTTGAACAGCAAACAAAGCTCGAGGTTGGCTCTGACCAAGATCGATGGAATTGTCGGACGGAACTATTTTCGCCTCGACAGAGTCGCCTTGCCCTTGTTGTACCCATTCGGATGAGCTGTTGCTCAACCGCCCTCGCTACCTCCCGTGTCGTGTCATGGACGACCATGTCGAGCTCAGCAAGCTTGGATGCTTGACCAGAATGCAGCCCTGTCACCCCGTTACTTTCATGGCAGGCCGAGTGCGAGCTGTCGACAACTGAGATTAACAGTTGGAGTCGCACACTTACTGACCCGTCCCTTCACAAGAAGTCCTACCCTGATAATGATGAGGCGGTCCGATTCCTAATCCCGACTGATGGGAAGGTCCTCCTCGGCGATATGTTGAATCGATGAAGGTGTTCGGCCCTCTGCACAGGCCGGAAGCAGTTCAGTGAGGAGTGCATGCATGGTCGCCGGTGCCAGGCACCTGTTGACCGCTCACAGCTTTCCAGAACGTGATCGTCAGGGCTTGACTGGACGTGTCCTCCGTCGTGGAGCTACTCTACGTTCACCTGGGAACGGGTTATCGGCTTAGAAGTAGAAGCATGTCAAGAGACGACGATGATTCAAGTCCACGGCAAGCACATGTGAAGAGATAGCTAGTCATAGGTAAAGTCGAGACTTGCAACAACGATAGGTAATGACCGCCATCGCATGTTCACGTGTGAATTATATACAAAGCAAACTAGATGACAAGATCGCTTTGAGTCCCGCTCGTGAGCTCTATCTTTGTAACCTTCCGATGCAGATGAAGGCCGCGCAAGGCAACAAAGACGACCGCAACGGCTTTCTCCGCTGAGCTCGACAGCTGGCTTGGCTTGGCTTTTTGCAGGCAGACCAACGACGACCACGCATTCAGAGCTGATGCTCACGCTCTTGGTGTGTATTGGCGGCGCGGGAATCGATTCTGAGTCGAAAAGTGCCGGCGTGGGCATCTGCTCAATTCTCTAATTGACAAGGTGCTCTCATGCTTTTTGTTTTTTTTTTGTTTTTTTTTTTTTGTTTTTTTTTTTTGTTTTTTTTTTTTTGTTTTTTTTTTTTTTGTTTTTTTTTTTTTTTGGGGGCAAAAGTCGACAGGAGGGATTGTAAGGCACCAGACCTCAGCAAAAGCGAAATTAGGTGCTTTTGCACAGAAAAAGGAGCCGGGCGAGTTAGGCCTTTCCAACCAACTCAGTTGAAGATACAGTCATGTCCAAAATTGCCCAGCATCTTTTAGGATAATTAAATGCTCATCACCACACATCAACTTTGCTTCTCAAGAGCTGGTATCCTCAATGAAGTGTAGCTTGTGACATATTGTTGGAAAGCTGAGATTGATAGCTACAAGTACATATAAGTTTTGTTATGATTGGACCACATTTGTGCACAGTGAAAGTGCCACGACTTTTTTTGAGTGTAAAGCTCCTCCTAAATTACTATATACTATATTTTAGTATTTTGTATGGCCCCCTTTTGCAACCCTTACAGTCTGTAACCTCCTGGGCATCAACTTTATGAGTGCCTGGACTGATTCCTTGGGAAAAGTTGCCCAAAACCTGTTGATAGCTGCAATGAGTTGAGCTTTATTGTTGATAGTATATCTTTGCTGATATAGCTGCTTTTTCAGCTGCTGCCACACATGTTTTATAGGACTCAGGTCTGGAGACATTGCAGGCCAGGGCAATACATTGAGTTTGACCTCCTCCAGGTACTCCTTGGCAACTTTGGCAGTGTGAGGGTGGGCACTGTCTTGCTGAAAGATCAATTTATCCCTTGGCAGAATTCTCTGTATATTCTTCCACTTCAAGATGCTACCAGGCACCACTTCCTCCAGCAACTCAATGTAATGCTCTGAATTCAGTTTGTCATCTATATAGACCATTAGACCTAGGCCTGCCCAGGTCATACACCTCCAAATCATGCTGCTGTGGCCACCCCCCTGCAGTGTAGGTATATATATATCATAGTTGACATCCCTGGACCAGTATCACTTTTCCAAGCCCTTTCCAATGTGTTGAACCTTGCATTCATCACTCCAGATGACATTCTTCCATTGTTCAACAGTCCAATGTCTATACTCCTTGGCAAACACCCTCCTTGCCTTCCTATGTTTATCTGTGAGCAAGGGTTTTCTTCTTTTTGCCCTAAACTTAAGTCCAGCTCACTTCAGTGCATGTGTAATGGTTTGTCTGGACAAACAAAGTTGATAGTGTCATAGCCAGTAGGCTGAAGCTTCAGTAGCCAAAGTATAAGAATTCTTGCTAATTCCTCTGGTGAGTAATGCCTGTTGGTGCAAGGAGAGGAGGAGGGGCCTCCCAGGGGTCCTTTTCACATATTCATTCTCTGGTACCTGTTTTGCCAGTTCAGCAATGCTGGATTTGTTGATAAACAGTTTAGTTGCTATCTCCCTTGTTGAGAAACCTGCTTGGAGCAGCTCTTTGACCCATAATAGGTGAGTGGTGGTGTATTTAGTCCTCCCCATATTGATTTTTTGCCCACCTTGCCATGTTGACAGCAGTATTGCCATATGATGTCCTAAACTTGTCAAAACACCCCGAAACATCTTTGTTTATATCATACCTGTGCAAAGCGATAAGTTACACAAGGTACAGAATTAATTGAGGAGGAGGGGCTTCAAAGAGCACCAACCTAAATTCCAACATATTCTTTGGTGGGACCACCCTTTTTTTCTCACATATTCTGATAGCAGGCTATCCAAGCTTTGCAACCATACCACACAAAGTGGGTGTTGTCAAAGAGAACAAAGAGTACTGGTCATCATCATGAAAAGGACCTGAGAACACCATATCAAATTAATTAGATGCTGGGCAATTTGGGATGCAACTGTATGTTGGAAAATTTCCAGGGTCTATTCAGAAAGCTGAGAGAGCAAAGCTTGTGAAAGCAAATGCTGCTTATTCATGAGCTGACTCAGGTATGTGAAATACATAAAGGCTGACATGACAATGGCTCAGAAGCTCTGCAGAAGAGACACTTGACTCACCTAAGGCTGTGTCACCAGAATGGAATTCCGTTCTCCGAGTCCGGAGCATTTGGGAGTGAAAATGCTTATACTTCAGTGTTGTGTGAATCAGGTACACCAGCTAAGGGACTAGCTGGTGTAGTGGTTTTGCTGCTCACTAAGTTCGGTTTGGTTACCCGATTCCCGATCCGGTGACAGGCTGCTCAATGTTCTCAGAGACAATGTGAAGATATATATACTCATGTTTGTAACCTTAGTCCACTTATATATGATAAGTATTGCAGTTGCTACACACCTGTGCAAAGAGAGCCTGAATGTGGGCCTCAACGAAGTGGTGCATACATTTCAACTAACTCACATGCTTCCAATTGGAGTCCAAAGGGGCGGCACAGCAACTGAGACAACGGGGAGCCAGGTAAAAAAAGAGCGAGAGAAATTTCAAGTTCTGGCCATTCTTGACAGTCGGCGGCGCAGCTGCACTGCGGTCCAACTCTGCAACGCTTCATGCTTCCCTTCTTATTTGACCCTCTCTCTCTTTCATTCGGATGCCGCTGGAAAACCCACATTTTGTTTCTGTTTCCTCAACTTGAATTTCTGCAGGGACACACCCGAACCAAATTTCTTTTTGCAGGAGCCATTAGTGAGCCAGCCAGCCAGTCAATCTAGTCAATTCGAACGTGCTTCTGCAGTTCCAAGCCCAGTCAAGTGAAAGTGCGGATAGCAGACGTACGCTGAGCTTCGGTTGACAATGACAGCCTCACTATCCAAAATTGAACCCTCCCTCACCCTCTCTCAATGCAGCAACGCTTTGCTCTCGAGGTGATCACACCTTGACATCTCCCGCAACACCATCATCGCTTTCGAAAGTCACCGCCAGAGCGACGCTACTCCCTTACAATCATCTCTAGCTTTTCGCCGCTCCACATTTTCGAGCTGGAGAGTGTCCGCCTTGCTGGGAATTGGCCAGCAGCATTTAGCGTCATTGCTTCTGTCACACACACAACGTCGGTACTGTTCCGATTGATTCGGAAGACCCGCTCTGGCTGTTCTGCCGTTTGAAAGAGCATTCCTTCCTACCTTTTCTCACACTTTGTCGGCATCCCCGACCTCTCAAGTGGCAGTGCGCAGCTCAGAAGTGACGATTTCTGTTTGAGAGAGTGCAAATCGGCATTCAACCTGGGCGTCTGATATTATTTTCGTTGGTTTGCTCAGCTCGACCATCTCCGCAACTGTCATCCACCTCATCAGCACGCCATCATCCGCACTCGTCCGCAAAATCCCGCACTTCTTCCTGTCTCCCTCTGTCTCGCTATCGGCACCTATCCGCCCGACATTCACAACACTAATAGAGCGCTATTTCATCAACAGTGCTAGATCCTCACCTCACGCCCACCGACCCTGCCGCTATGACGGCTCCGAAGCAGGGCACTCAGCCCTCGACGTCGGGCGATACGCACTACCGCATCGTCGTTAAGTCCGTTAACGGGCGTGAGCCCATCAAGACGGAGCCAGTCTGCAACACTGCCTCTTCCGCCGTCGCTCCTCCATCATCTGCAACCTCGCACAGCGCAGCAGCACCTGCCGCCTCGTCGTCTACACACCTTGCCACACCGTTGTCATCTCCCACCAAGAACAGCAACCCCTCGAGTCCCGCCAAATCACCAGGACGACCTCGCCGCGTCGAGCCCATCGTCGTCTCATCCCGCGACTTTGGACCTAGCGCTGGAGGCGACAGCGACGACGAGACCAAGGATGGCGATTCCGAGTTGACCAAAGGTGCCTCTGCTAAAAGACTCAGCCGCAAGAGCAAGGCTGATGCCATGTCTGCGCTTGCTGGCAAAGATCCTGTTACCGTCGATGTGCCAGCCTCACCTGCTCCAGGTCAGAATGGTGTTGTCGCCCTCTCAGGTAACCCTGCTCAGCACCCCGCTCGAAAGCTCTTCCAACACCAACCTTTCCCTCCTCTTGCTTTTGACACGTCCTATCCTTCCTACGACTTTGCCTCCACATCGACACAACCAACTATCCCAACCAGCACCAGCACGCCGCGCAACCCACCTCCAAGGATTCGCCCGCGCCTCTTCGAGCTCGAAGAAGCGCCCACATTCTACCCTACTCCTGAGGAGTTTGCCGACCCAATGAAGTACATCTCATGGATCGCAAACCCACAAGGCGGCAATGGCAAAGCATACGGCATCGTCAAGATCGTCCCTCCTGAGGGCTGGAACCCGGACTGTGTTCTTGACGAACAGACCTTCCGCTTCCGCACTCGCGTTCAGCGACTCAACTCGCTGAGTGCCGATGCTCGTGCCTCTCAGAACTATCAGGAGCAGCTTCAGAAGTTCCATGCTCAGCAAGGTCGCAAGCGTGTCTCCGTCCCCGTCATTGATGGTCGCTCTGTCGATTTTTACCAGCTTAAGCTCGTCATCTTGGGTCTTGGCGGCTACGATGCCGTCTGCCGTGGTCGCAAGTGGTCGGATGCGACGAGGCAGATCGGCTATAGCGAAAAGGACAGCGCTCAACTCTCGACTCAAGTCAAGGCTGCATATACACGCATTATTCTGCCTTTCGAAGAGTTTATGGCCAAAGCAAAGGAGCAGGCTCGCGCCAATGGAACATCCATTAGTCCTCAAATCGCACAGAGCTCAACCATGGGCAGTGCACCGTCCGCCGAAGGTCAAGAAGCCAGCCTCAAGCATGCTTCCATGTCACCCAGCTTGGATGCCTCTTCGAATGGCGATAGGGCAGCGCAATCCAACACGCCCGAGCCGCTGAATGCTGTTGGTGCTGCAGACCTCCTCGGCAATGCTACGCCAACGATTGAGTCAGCCTCGCAAAGTCCATCCACACTGGCGAGCACACGTCGAAGCGCTCGCAAAAGGTCCGAGGCGAACAGCACCCCTACTTCATCCTCGAGGAACCCTCTCGTGCTTGCATCTAGCCCTGCTATACCTCTCGCCTCCAGGCGTAGGAAGGGCGTCAGTCCTCACGTCGACTCGGATGCACACGTTCGCACCCACTCGGGTCAAAATGGGCAGGAAGAGCAGATGTGCGAAATTTGTCTGCGTGGCGAGGACGGCCTCAACATGCTGCTCTGCGACGAATGCAACCGCGGCTATCACATGTACTGCCTTCAGCCGGCTCTCACTTCCATTCCAAAGTCGCAGTGGTTCTGCCCGCCTTGTCTTGTCGGCACTGGCCACGACTTTGGCTTCGATGACGGTGAGACCCACAGTCTCTACACCTTCTGGCAACGTGCTGAGGCCTTCAAGCGTGAATGGTGGTCCAAGCGACCCGAACGTCTCTGGAAGCCAGATGAAGCAGCTTTCAGCTCCACAGATGACAGCACTCACACCAACGGCCTTGCTCGCCGCATCTACGGCACAGACCTTGTTGTGTCTGAAGACGATGTGGAGCGCGAGTTCTGGAGGTTGGTGCACAGCCAGAACGAGGAGATCGAGGTCGAATATGGTGCCGATGTCCATTCCACTACGCATGGAAGCGCTCTACCGACGCAAGAGACTCACCCCTTGAGCCCATACTCGCGCGACAAGTGGAATCTCAACAACCTCCCAATCCTTCCCGGATCGCTTCTGCAGTACATCAAGTCCGATATCTCTGGCATGACGGTGCCTTGGATCTACGTTGGCATGATGTTCTCTACCTTCTGCTGGCACAACGAGGACCACTACACCTACTCGATCAACTACCAGCACTGGGGTGAAACCAAGACATGGTACGGTATTCCTGGCGAAGACGCCGAGAAGTTTGAGCGTGCCATGCGCAAGGCAGCACCAGACCTCTTTGAAACGCTTCCCGATCTGCTCTTCCATCTCACCACCATGATGAGCCCCGAGAAGCTCAAGAAGGAAGGGGTTCGCGTCGTTGCCTGCGACCAGCGCGCCAACGAACTCGTCGTCACCTTCCCTAAGGCCTATCACAGCGGTTTCAACCATGGTTTCAACCTCAACGAGGCAGTCAACTTTGCCCTTCCCGACTGGATTTTTGACGACCTCGAGTCTGTGCGCAGGTATCAGCGTTTCCGCAAACCCGCCGTCTTCTCACACGATCAGCTCCTCATCACGGTCTCGCAGCAGAGTCAGACCATTGAGACGGCTGTATGGCTCGAAGTTGCCATGCAGGAGATGGTTGATCGCGAGATCGCAAAGCGCAACGCACTGCGTGAGATCATCCCTGATCTCAAAGAAGAGGTCTACGAGGAGGATGTCCCCGAAGCGCAGTACATTTGCACCCACTGCACGATCTTCTGCTACCTTGGCCAGTTGACGAGCCCGAAGACCGAAGGCGTTGCTTGTCTCAACCATGGATTTGAGGTGTGCAACGCCGATGCCCCGGTCAAGTGGACGCTCCAGCTCCGCTTTTCAGATGAGCAGCTGCGCTCCATCCTCGCCAAAGTCTGCGAACGTGCCGCCATTCCTCGTAACTGGATCCAGCGACTCAAGAAGACCTTGGCGCTCGGTCCCACCCCGCCCCTCAAGACACTCCGAACTCTCGTGCATGAAGGCGAGAAGATTGCCTTCGCTCTCGAGCCACTCGAAGATCTCAAGGCATTCGTCGCCTGTGCCAACTCGTGGACTGAGCGGGCAAATGTCTTCTTGGTTCGCAAGCTGCAAAAGAGGCGAGGAGAAACTGGCACTGCACCTGCTGGAAGGATTCGACGATCGAAGGGGGGTGATGACAGCTTCGCTAGAAGGATGAGTCTGGACGCATCAGCCGAAGACATTGACAGCACGGCCGATCGAAGTCCCGAAGCATTGTACGCTTTGCTCGACGAGCTCGATAGCCTCCACTTCGATGCACCCGAGATCTCTTCGCTCCGTTCGCTCGCACAGGAGCTGGAAGAGTTCATCGGCCGCTGCAACGAAATCTTGGCTCGACGTGACAGCGCTACCGAGCCTAATGTCAAGGACTGCGAGAGTGTTCTCACCCTTGGCAGCTCTCTTAACGTAGATGCACCTCAGATCAAGGAGCTTTCGGATTACGTCGAGCGCCGTAAGTGGGTTCAAGAAGTCAACGAAAGCCGCGATACGTACCTCTACTACCACGAGGTGCAGGAGTTGCTCGAACGCGCTGACAGCTGTGGTCTCGAAGACCACGAGCTGCGCAAAGAGCTCGAGCAACGTCGCGAAGCTGGCGAGCGCTGGACCGCACGGGCCAAACAAGCACTGGAGGGCTCCGAGCCGATGACCATGGAGTTGCTCGAAGAACTCTGTGACTCCTCGACCGACATTCCTGTCGTTTTGGAAGTGGCCCAGGATGTGAGCAACGTGCTTAACAAGGCCAAGGAGCTTCATAAGACCATTCAGACGCTGCACAAGAGCTTGCAGGCCGGTGGCCAGGGCAACACTGGACCTGACGCAGATGGGGACCTCTCCATGATCTCGGTCACGGAGAATAGTGAAGCGGCGGATCGCATGGCCTTGCTTCCTGACGCGCGCCGTGTCCTTCGTGCCATCAAATCGAACAAGCTCGGGCTCGAGCATGCTAAAGAGATCGAGAATGCTATCCAGGTCTACGATGCATGGCGAGCATCTTTCAACCAGATCATGCAGACCATCGCTGCTGGATCTCGTCGCCTCACTGACACCGATCGTGATGCTGAACTTGACAAGCTTGTGGAGAGGGTGGAGAGTGCGACGGATCCCCAGGACGACCAGCCCAAGTCCAGTTCGCGTAACTGCATCTGCAGGAGCTCCGCGCCGATTGCCGTTCCATCTTCTTCGACGGCAGAGTGCTCACACTGTCGCATCCGATATCACCTGCCCTGCATTAAGGTCCGCTCGTCCGAGGTAACACGCGCCGAAGGAGGCTGGAGATGCCCCTTCTGCCCTTGGGCAGGCAACGCTGCCTTCCTCAAGACTCGCAAAGCAGTCAGCGTCACGGATCTCTCCAAGCTCGTCTACAATCAGGACCATCGCCGGGACCAGTTCAAGTTCTTGCCGCTCGAGTGGGATACAATCGAAGAGGTTGTCGCCAAAGCCAAACGTTTCGAAACTGCTGCTAAGCGCATGATCAAGACGCTATCTTTGATGCGCAGGGACCAGAAGCAGACCATTCTCGCGCACTGGCTGCGTCGATCCATCGGTTGTCCAGTCGATGTGCTCGGTCCAGAGAAGGTCAACATGCTTGATCTGATCAGCGAGACCCTGCTTGGCCTTGGTCCAGACGCCATTGAAGAGCGAGCAGCTGCGCCCACATTCGATCGCCCGCAGGCAGAGACGCCCTCGAAGGCGCAGGCACAGGATTGCAACGACTCAGCTCCGCCTCAGAGCTCTTCGCGGGCGATGGCTCGAGCCGATCGCGACTCTGGATCTCCTGCTGTTCGCGGCAGCGACGATCGCAAACGCAAGGCGAAGAGAGGCAAGCGTGCCAAGCTTGTCTTCCGAGAGGAGATTGGCATTGGTGCGTATCGCGATGGTCAGCCGATCTACTGTTTGTGCCACGAGCCCGAGGGTGGCCGCATGATTGCGTGTGACAAGTGCATGCTTTGGTTTCACATCCACTGTGTCCGCCTCGATGATCCTCCGAATCTTGGCGACGAGGCTTGGATCTGCCCCATGTGCTGCATCAAAGCCGAGCGTAAGTATCCTCAGGCCGAAGTGCGAGTCAAGGAGATGGATGTCACCGATCCCGACATGTGGCTAGACATTCGTGCCACGCTGCGATCGCTCGAAAAGCCGGTCAGCAAGGTTCAGTCATGGAGCAGTCGCGAGGACAAGCGCATTGTGTTGCATCTCGAGAAGTTTACGCCCGCCATCCATGCCGAGGAAGTGCGTTCCCAGGTCACCAAGCGTGCCAGGCTCGAGTCGGATACACCCAGCAAAGCGCGTGCTTCTCTGGGGCGTTCCGACTCGCTCTCCACGCCTGCCAAAGAAGGCAGTGCTATGCCGTATGCGCCACCGCCTGTACCGAGCGAGGCTTCTCGAGTCAATATGCCGGCCTCAATCATCGCTGCGCCGAGTCAAACGCTTGCAGACACGTCCGCATCGAGACTACCAAGACAAGACAACCCAGCTGCTGGATCCCCGCCGCAATGGGAAGGCCAAAGTGGTCCTTCACGAGGTCCCTTGAGCTTCGAATGGGCTCAGGAGGCGCGTCGACGTCATGCCGAGGGCATGGACAATCTCTACCGACGCGGCATCACCGATACGATGCTTATGCGGTTCTACGTTGGATGGGATGGGCGCCAGCTTGTCCACCCCATGCGGGATCCCTCGGGCGTCATTGTTGAAATCCCTCTTGGCGAGGCCATCCGACTACATGCCGATGATCCGGAAGGCACTAGGGTGATTCGCGCGGCGATCGAACGTTACATTACCAGGATAGAGCGAGCCGCAGCTGCCCAACCCAATTCGCAGCGCGGCTATCCTGCTGCAGCGGAGATGGAAGATCACAGCAGGCACGGGCGTACGCCGTACGGGCGCGAAGACATCCCATACGGTTCTCAGCGACACCAGCAGCCATACGTGCCATCCAACGGCAGGCTTGATACAGGCTCACCAGGCTCACTTCCACCTCGACTAGCAGGCGACCGCGACTACGAGCGGGAACGAGGTCCCCACGACTTCCGCGATGGACGCGATTCTCGCTACGGCGAGCCGGATCCGCGACTGTTGCGCTCCCCGGCTGCTGCAGCTGCAGGTGTCCACTCGATTTCGCCAGCTCTCCGATCAGGTGTCGCGCACGAGCTCATGCCCACCTATGCGCGCAGCCCGGTTCCACATGTTGTTGGTAGCAACGGTGTGGCATCAGCAGCCAAGAGTCCCTATGCAAGCAGCGCCGAGCTCGGTTGTCACCCATCTTCGCACGGCACCTACTCTGCTTCCAATCGCGGACCTCCTCACCGGGCCGGTGCAGAGCACGACGCGACAAGAGGACCGGCGCTTATGCCGACCTATGCTTCCGCCAAATCCGACACGTTGGCAAATGGGATGGGTTCTGCATATGCCGGCATGCCTCTCGATCCCGCCATGATGGCTGATGATGCTGCTCAAATTGATCCAGCGCTGATGAGGAGTCCTGTGCCAGCTAGGTCTGGTGCTTCCACTCCCTCAGACAAGGCATCGCGCCCGGTTGCTAACCCAGATGCAGGCAGGTCGGCAGATGGCGCAAACGACAAGCAGAGTGAGACTAATGCCAAAGAGAATTCGCGACAGGCTGGATCTGAAGCAAAGGAGACAGCTCAGCCAGGTAACGTAAAGATGAAGAAAGAGGAAGGAGAGGAAACGGAAGATCTGGAAAGCGTCCGAGAGCAGGCCAGGCAGATGGCCCGTCGGATGCGACCCGACGCTTCAGATGCGGAGATTGAGCGTCTGGTCCAAAACTTTGTTGGTGGAGGAGCTGATTCGGCGTAGTTAACCTCAATCTACTCCCACACGCATTAACTCGTGTTCTGTTTTGTATTGCGCCCGATATGAGGTCGTCATCAGTCAATGATAAGCCAAATCGATACCATCACATGCTCAGATGACTGAAGATCAAGCCTGACCACGCATTCTTCAAAGCAGACCAGGCTGTCGAACAATTCACATTCCCGGCCAGTCAAACAAAATAAGGCGGTATGATAATTTTCGTTCCAAAAGCAAGCTTTTCCAGGAGTATATTATATAGAAACAAGAACAAAACATATAAGGAGTGCGCTGAAAGCTCAGAGACGGATCTTGCCAGCCTCGATACTCTTGTAGTGTTCGGGATGGAAGGGGACGTAAGAATCGGAGCTGGGAGGCAACCAGTAGAGGCAATCCGAACCGCATTTGTCGTGTTCGATACCCTGGTTCCTGAGCTGCACCTTTTGCTGCTTGACGGTTCCTGTCTGTTCCATGGTGGGTACGATTCGGATGAAGAGGGGCACGGCGTACTTGGGCAGACTCTTGCGTGCGACCTGTGCCAGAAGCTTGAAGTCCAGTCCTTCGGCATACTCAGATGGGATAGCTGCACATCCAGCACGACCGTCGTGCTTGGGCACGAGAACTCCATAGACGTTGGCTTCACCAACAACTTGACCGAGCGCATTAGCCACCTCAGTGGTAGAGACGTTCTCACTCCTCCATCGGAACGTGTCACCCATACGATCACCAAAGTAGAAGAATCCATCCTTGTCCTTTGTCATCAAATCACCGCTACGGAACCAAGCATCACCCTTCTTGAGTGCATCCTTGAGGATCTTCTTGTTGGTAGCTTCCGGGTTATCGGCGTAACCTTGAAATTTGGAGATGGAAGAAGAGCCGATGCGCATGACGAACTCGCCGGGTTCTCCAGGTGCACATTCGACACAGAGACCTGTCTTGGGATCGCGATAGATGTCTTCGGTGATAGCATCGACGCGGATGATCTTGAAGTCTGGTCGAGCGAAGCTTGCCAAAGTTCCCATGCGACCGACAGCACCAGCACCGAAAGGACCGGCGTTGTAGTTGAGCAGAGCACCGTTACCTTCTGAGGAGGCAAAGAATTCCGAGATGACGCGAACACCGTATCGTTCTCGGAACTTCTCCCAGACATCGGGGCGCATACCGTTTCCGTAGGCCATGCGCACGTTGTGCTTCTTGTCAAGAGGGGACGGTGGGACGGCAAGGAGGTAACGTGCGATCTCACCGATGTATTGGACTACAGTCGCGTCGTATTTGCGCACTTCATCCCAGTACTTGCGAGCAGAGAACTTGCGACCGATGATGACGGTACTTCCAGAGCACAGCGAGGCGCAAATGCAGAGGAAGAGTGCAGAAGAGTGGTAGAGAGGCATGGGTGTGTAGATACGGTCTTTGGCAGTGAAACCGTTGAAGGTAGGCCAAACACTGCAGGCGGTACCCATACGACCGTGGGAGCAGAGAGCAGCTTTGGGCAGACCAGTGGTACCGCTGGTGTAGATGAGAGCTGCTGTGCTCGATTCGCCTACATTCTTGCGGTACTTGTCAGTGACACGCTTGGCAGAGTACTTGAGCAGGTCAGAGGGACCGAACTCGACTTTCTTGGCAAGCGGCTTGGAGACTGCACCAGCAGCTTTCTCCTGATCACCATCGAGCGGGGTGATGCCATCGTCGTATCGGATGAAAGCATCAATAGGGGTCTTTTGCTGGATCTCATCCTGAACGTCCGAGATGGGTCCCTCAAGGTAAGGCTCGAAGACGAGTAAACAAGCACGAGCAATCGAAACACAGTGAACAAGACCCTTGTCGGTGAGCGAGTTGTTGATGAAGGCAGGTACAACGTCGATGCACATGCAAGCTAGGAACCATTCGAGAATAGCTGCGGAGTTGCCCATGAAGATGGCAACACGATCACCTTGCTTGAGACCACGGGAGAGGAGGTAGTTGGCAAGACGGTGAACATCTTTGGCCACTTCTCCCCAGGTGAAAGACTTGCCAAGGTAGACGTATGCGACGGCGTTGGGGCGCTTCTGCGCTTGAGCGTCAAAGTATTCGTAGAGGGAGAGCTTGTTACGGAAGGCACGGATCTTGTGCTTGATCTCACCTCCCAAAGCGCCTCGAGCGAGAAGAGCATCGTTCGCAATACCGTGCTTGGCGTCGAGGTAGGCGATGGCAGCCAGACTGGCAGCTGCTTTTGCGAGGGCGGCCATGGCTGTGTGAATTGTGTCTACGGGTCGTTAGTGAGTCAGAGGGAGATGGTGACGAGGTCGCGCGGAATGGTGACGATGATGAACGCGATCGTGATCAGGAGCCGGGGTTGCAGTTGTGGTTGGGAGCCGGTTTCCGTTACTTTCGACGGTGGAAGGGAAAGAAGTACGGGGACGTCTGTGATTAGCGATAAGGACGTTTCAGAAGATCCAGTCACAATCTATTGTATGGATTTAGGTTGGGAGCAGAAGGCAGATTTCAGCGAGCATGAAGCGGTTGTACGAGCCAGGTGTGCTGAACTCGACATGCTAGCAGCGGCCAAGACCAGCCATGACAAAGGCGGTTGAAAGCTCCTGAAAGCGATGCTAACTTGTGCTTCTCTGTGCTAGGATAGGCTACAGTTGAAGTGTATGACCGCCTCGCCCCGCATGCAATCTTGCTCTGAAAGCGATCCTAACTTTTTGTGTGTTCAGGCACCAGCGCTGTGATAGTGACTGTCATACAGCCAGTTTTTGCTCCACATCAAGAACATTTTTGACTTTTTCGTTGTTGAAAGCGGCTTGTCTCGAGACCTGTGTGAATACAAATCCTGCGCTTCTTGCGGCAACTTGTATTTAGCCAAGTTGATGGAAATACAAGTCGGCGCCAAGTGGATTACAAAACGAATTTTCACGGATCGACTGAATGCAGGCAGGCCTTTGCTGTTTCCTTTCCTCCCCCGCCTGGACTCAATCGCACGAAACATAAACCAAATTGTATATACATAATACGAAAAACCAAGTGGATTGCAGGCAAAGACCCGTGAGGTCCTCGAAGCTCGACAAGCAGCGGTCGAGCTCAGAAACGAGCGGCAAGGGAGGGTGTACAGGGCGGGCAAACAACGACGAACCAGGCTGCTGATAGTACGCCTGGCTTTTGGTCAAGATGATGTAGTAAAGAGGGGAGAGGAGAAGCGTAGCGAGTCGATTGTTGAGTCCAGCCCAGACGCGCACGTCTTCTTGACGATCACGTGATGCACACTTTTTGTGGGGGAACGGAACGAATGGAAGCAAGCAGACAAGCAGACAGAGCACAGGCCGCGTCGAATGTCATCATGAGCAAGCAAGCAAAACAACAAGCAGCTCGGTTCCAAAGTGATGCACCACCACGACAGCTCCTTCCACTCAATGCACCATTCTCCCTGAGACTTCCGGGACAGAAAACGAAACAGTCCGGAAACACAGATAACGATCAGATCTTCTCAGATTTTCGCTACGCCAGTCGCTGGATACTAGTCTTCGGAAGTCGGACAGCTTGAGCTGTCAACGATTCTGTCTCATAGTCCCTGTCAGAACCCGGTCCTTGCCCAGCTAGCAGCTACATCGGGGGCCCTTAAATCAAACACCAACGCTGACCTGAAGCACAGCACTGCGTCCCCCTCGTCACTGTCCGACTTGAAGGAATCGAATCCTTTGCTCACACCGAAAGCAAGTCGGCACGTGTGCTGCTGTTATCGTCGATCGCCTCTTCGCCGCCACCTCGTGCGCCCTTCGGTCAATTGAGCGTTTGCAGGTACTTCAGAGCCGCACCTCTGGCTTGGTGCAGCGACTCCCTGACCCGCTTCATCCGATCTTCACGTTGCAGGTGCGAGTCTTGCTGCAAATATGGCTCTCAACTGGGTGATGCTCGACCACGAGGGTCGCAGCCCTCTACCACTCCCTGAAGAACAAGTGCTGTGTCGCGTTGCTAAGACGTCCTTGCAGTGAGTAGTCCATACAGTTTATTTCGATGTTCTTAGTCCTCCATACTGATATGAGTTTTGTGCGGCATCCTGTGGTATCAGACTCGAGTATGACCCACAAGGCCTCACGTACAAGGCTGAAGGCGATGCTTTGATATCGTCACATAGAGTGAGTCTTACGCTTCCACCACTTGGCAACTGCTTCATCTTTGTACATTCTTTCTGATCTTTGGCTCTGCCCCATCGACACAATGCTTCCAAATGGACTTGACAGTTTGTCTTCATCCGTCAGCCTCAGGCTGCCCCTCGTAACTCGCTCCTGAACTCGCTCTCTGTTCCGATCGACCATTTCCACTCGCACAAATATGTCATCCCCATCTTCACAGCTGCCTATCTCCAAGCCGACGTCTACTCTGTCGCTCAGGGTGGACTGCCGGAGCGCCAAACCGGCGACGAAGCTTACCCCGTGGGAAAGCTCAAACTTTGGTTCATGGAAGCGGGCGGCATCGCTTTCCGTGACGCTGTCGACAAAGCTAAGAAGCTTTGGCAAGAGAGACAAGAGGCCGAGCAAGGCCGAGACGCTCTACGTAAGTTGGTCTACTGCTCGTCGATCGAAGCCGCTAGAAGAAGAAGAAGCCGACGAATAGCTGACTCGACGATCCTTATCTTGGTTCAACCTTGTTTTCCTGACGCCGAACAGCTGCATACGAGCCACCTTCTGAGCCATGAGTTGCAATCAAACAATCAGTCTGCTCTATCTAGGTTACCGCGATTGTATCAACGCGGTGATTGTGCATGAGAGTACGACTGGCAAAGCCTAAAATGTGTAAGGAAGTTATGGTGAAACGAAGCTCAAGGTTGGAATGAAGTGAACGGATCGGGCTTCGTTGGATCAAGATTTCGGTCTAATTTTCGGAGTTTTTCGCCCTTGACGGCTTCCATGCTGTGCCCTCTGTTCCTAAGCCTGTTCCTGCGCCCCTGCCTTTAACTAACAGAAATAATAATAAATAATAATAAATAATAATAAATAATAATAAATAATAATAATAATAATAATAATAATAATAATAAAATATAAAAAAATTGCCTCCTTGAAACACACTGGACCGAATAAAACACCGACCAAGCTGTACCACATCATCGCCAACGATCCCTGGCTCTTTGGTACGAGCTCGAGCTGAGCACCACCTTACGTATTGACCTCCACAGCACAGCAGAATGGAGGTAACTAGAATGCTGGTTGTCGATTCCGACCCTGATGATGTGATCTCGGTTTATGTCAAGTGACAGCCAGCGTTCCTTTTTCATCACGAGTCAAGGTGTTGGTCTACCACTCTTCGTCAACGTCTTGGCGAGTCATGCTTGCTTGGTAACTTCTTGACTCACATTCCAGCAATTCAACGTGGTGGTTGCGAACACTTGCGCCTCTTACGCCAACTTGACCGTCCCGCCGGAGCACGGAGGTATGATAGGGGTTGTCTTCTGTCCTTTCCACCGACGCCGTCGCACGCATCATATCGATGCTTTACGTTTCGGCAAGACTAACATGAGGATCACAAGGCTGCATTCGACCATTGAACAAATGCATTCGTTCTCGTAGCAACAAAAGACGCTGTCAATCTGAGTTGGTTGCCAGCATCGTGTGCAGTAAGCTAGCATCTACACATATGAACCAGAGCCTGTGATAGGACATGGAATGCTTGCTGTGACCGATGTCAGCCTTGTCAGCGCTTGAAGTTGGTAAAAGGGTTCAAATATCCGCTCGTCAATTGCCGCTTGTGGTTGCAGAGTCACACAGTCACTGAGGAGTGTCGATCGTGTCCTGAAAGCGGACGTGTGCCTCGGTCAATTGGTCGGCATTGCATTTCGACGACGATCCGGGTCATTGTGCCTCTTTTGAGTTTTTGCCCTGCGTCCAACGTCAAACTACGCCGCGCCCACCTGCAAACTGTCGAATTGTGACTGTACGACGTCTCTGACTGTTCTGAGGGGTTTCAGCCATACAATTTTATTACTTCGGGATTTCTCTTTAAGTTTTCCTTCGCCTTCGCAGGTAACTCAGCGAATTCTACCGGGTTTCTATCCAGCTTGCTGGAAACACTCAACAGCATGTCCCCCTTCCAGTTGCTTAACTCCATTCCTAACCTTGCCTTACGCTCACACCATACCTCCTTCAACAGACGGACATATATATTTCGGCCCTCATCATAGACTCGCCCGGTCGGCATCAGCACACTACATCAACATCGTACACCTATCAACATCGACTGTCCTGGCTTGACATGGACCCGCACCATAGAGACTTACCCTCCCCATTGTCATTATGACTTCCAGCAGTAGAAGTAGTAGTCAACACCGTCCGCACCAACCACCTGCCTACCATGGTGCGGATCAGCCTCCCCTCTCGCTGCAAGCGCCTTCGACCTCTCAACCACAATCGCGCAACAACTCTTCACTACCGTCGTTGAAAGCAGCTTCTTCTTCGACAACAGATACCCAGCTAGAGTCTCTTCACCAATTGTCCGCTTCAACTTCGACTGCACCTGAAAAGAAGCATGACCACAAAGCCTTTTCGCCCTCTTCTGCATCTTCGCATTCGTCAATAGATCATGAGGAGCACGCCGACTTGCCCGGTCCCTTGCCCACCACACATACACTACAGCCACTAGCCTCGCGTCTCACACGAGCAGACTCTCGGCCCAAGCCTACACAGGCCGCTGCTGCGACTGGTGCCAAAGACCAAGCTTCTCATGGCCGCCAACGGTCCTCATCGATATCTTACATTGACCCAGCCAACAGGTCTTCGGACTTGCAACGCGCCTCCTCGCGGGTCTCATCAATACACCGATGCGCCGACCCTCACTATCCAGCCTCTGCCCTCGCTCTAACTCTCACCAAGTCGGAAGATCCTTATGCAACCTACATCGACTGGCCTGCCAACGACTCCGAGAACCCATTTAATTGGCCAAAGTCCCGAAGATGGCTCCTCGTCTCCGTCTGCTTCCTCTTCACCGCCTGCACTGCCTTCAATGGTTGCGGATACCCGTCAGCATCTTTCCAAGCCGCTCAAGACTTGCAAACTACCCAGCTTGTGTTCCTCGTCGGCAACACCGTCTTCCTCTTTGCCGTCTCCATCACCCCACTAGTCCTCGCTCCGTTGAGCGAAGTTTACGGCAGAAGCCCGATCTACCTCACCGCTGTTGCCATCTTCACCCTGCTGTACATCCCTCAAGCGCTCGCCAAGAACATCACAACCATCATTGTCGTACGTTGGTTCCAGGGCATGGCTGCTTCTGTCGGTAATTCCATGGTTGCAGGAAGTGTTTCGGATGTTTTCCACGCCAACGAACGAGGCTTTCCCATGTCGCTCTACGCCATTGCCGTGTACATTGCGCAAGGTGTGTCGCCCTACATCTCTTCCGTGACGGTCAACAGGGCAAGCTGGAGGATCATGTTTTGGTGGCAAGGTGCGCTCTCGCTCCTTACCTACATTCTCATGGCTCTGTTCCTCAAGGAGACTCGAGGACCCGTTCTGCTCTCTCGCCGAGCCAAGAAACTCACCAAGGAGACCGACAGGCTGCATAAGTGCAGAGCCGACGATGAACGACTCAACTTTTTGGTCATGGTCAAAGTCTCACTCATTCGACCTATGCAGTATCTTGTCTGCGAGCCGGTCGTGCTCAGCTTCGCACTCTGGATTGGATTCTTGTGGGGTATCATCTTTATCTCCCTCGAAGCCATTCCTATCGTCTTTGCAGGCTACGGCTGGGACTCGGAGCAGCAGCACATGGCACTCCTCACCATTGCGGTCGGTGGTACCATTGGCTACCTCCTCAACTTCCATCAAGAGAAGCTCTATGCCGCCGCAGCACACAAGTACGGCGGTAAGCCACCTCCGGAAGCTCGTCTCTACTACGCAGCCGCAGGAGCCGTGCTCGCCCCAATTGGACTCTTCATCTTCGCCTGGACGGGTCGAGCAAATATCAACCCCGCCGCGCCCATCATTGGATTGACCATCTTCAACCTCGCCCTTTTCCCCGTATACCTTGCTGTCTTCTCCTACCTTGCCGACGTATACGAACGATACGCATCAAGTGCACTTGCTGCCCAGAGTTTCTTACGAAACACCTTCGCTGCAGCTTTCCCACTTTTCTCTCAGCAGATGTACACCAAGTTGACGCCAAAGTATGCTTCCACGCTATTGGCATGCATTGCTGCCTTGCTGGGAGTCGTTCCCTTCGTACTACTCAAGTACGGAGATCGCATTCGCAAGCACAGTCGAGCAGCAATGGCGTTGGAAGCAGAAGAACGAGAAGCAGCTGAATTCTTGGCCCATGAAGAGGAGAAGGAAGTCCGTCGCAATGCTAGAAGGCAAGCTCGTGCAGCACGTCAGGCCGCAGCAGCTTCCCATTCGACAGGTACGACAGCGGCAAACACGCCCGAATGGCAGAAGGACGTACCGTCCCACTTTGACGAGGAGAAAATCATCGATCGTCACCAAGAAGAGGAGGGAGAAGACCACGATGATTCGGTCGAGGAAGAGAAACGCGCAGCCCATCATCAGCATCAGCATAGTGATGATGGAGACACAATCAGCTCTGGTAGCGTTACTCCTTTTCCCACCACTGCTAATGTTGCAGTCAGACCAGAAGACTGTAGCGATTGCAACAACATCAAACGTATGCCTCCTACTAGCATTTTGTAATCTTATGATCATACACTCATTTATTACTTGCACTCATATTCAATGCATCTCACAACACTTTGTTCACCATCAAATCGCTTCATTCAAACAATAGGATTGCACAACAAGAGAAAACAAACAAATGTCAAGAACTGGATCACTTGGTCGCCTTAGCTCTGGACCTGACCTCTCCCTTGGCCTCCAAAGCAGACGTTTTTGCCTCTTCAACCAACTTCTCTCCCTCTCCCTTTCCTTCATCCTTCTTCCCCTCTCCATCCCTCTCATCCTCGCCATCAACGTTCTCCAACGTCTGACCGAACTCATTCCTCCTCGTCGGATCAACACCATAAATCCACCTCTGATACAAAAAGATGAAGAACACCACATCGTCCCTGAAACAAGCCAGCCTGTGCAACATTGGCATCTTGATGCAGAATGCGAACAGATCGTCTACGAAAGTGCCAAGGATTTTGTAGACAAACGTTTTATGGTTCATCCCGGCGGTACTCTTTAGCTTGTAGTTAACGATCAGCTGAGGGACTAGCGAGACGAAACCGAAAGCATAAACAAAACTGGTAGCAGTGGAAATAATAAAACTCCACCAACTTCTGTGCGTTTGGTAGAGGGCGGAATAGATAGTGTAGCCGACAAGAAGGGGACCGATGGCAATACCGACGTATTTGAACGCCAATTTGTCGAATTCTTGCGTCTTCTTTTCTTCCGTACTCAACTTGTGCTTGTCTGTAATGCTGAGCTTGTATGGTATCCTCGATCCGGTTGCAGTCCTAACAATCGAGACAGAAACAGCCTTAGTAAGCTTCCAACACTCAATCAGCACCCCCACTGCCTGTCCCGCCAAAATCATCCAACTCGTCTCTTCATTATTATCCAACAAATACAACGTAATAATCAACTGCACCACCACATTTGTTACAATACTACCCACACTAACTCCCGCCAAATCGTCCTTATTCTTCCAATGTCTGACATCGCTACTGAAGGCCAAGAACTCGAACAAGCTATGCAGGATCGAAACGATGATCGTGAGGGCCAAAAACCAAGGGTTGGTTTCAAGGAGCATGGTTTTGATCATATCGATTTCTCCACCTGTTGCACCGGCTTGTTTGTCGAATGAATCGGAGAGAGCGGCGAGAGTTTGGAATTTGAACCATGTTTGATGGTAAAGGTGGATGTGAAGGGGGAGAGTGGTTAGGGTTGAGTTGATGGGGTGCATGTGCTCTTTGAGCAGCCAGAAGTCGTTGGGGAAGAGAGTGGGGTAGCGGAGAATGTTGGGTGGTCGATTGGGTTGAGTGGCGAAGGCTTTGTCCAATGCAGCTGCTAGGGCGGGGTCGGAAGGTCGAGGAGCCACAATCATATCGCCTGTGCTAGGGTCACGGACGACACTGACATGCTGAAGCAAAGGAGGAGGTAGTTGGGAAAGTTGAACTCCCAAATCACCCTTATCTTGTACAAGTGCTAGAGTCAGGTTCCTATGCCAATGACCGACGATTTTGGGACCATCATCCTCTTCTTCTTCCTCCACTACCGCTCCGTCCTTTGAGACTGAAGTGGGTTTGTTCTTATCGAACAAATTCTTCTCCTTCCTCTTCCTCTTCAACGGCATCAACCTACTCAACAACTTCCTCGTCCTATACACCCCAAGCGGATGATAGTTACCATCTGCAGGGTTAGGACTAATACCATGCTTAGTAAGAACGAAGTCTGCCCAAATACTCGCATTGTTGTACCTAACATCCTCTCCTAACTGCAGCGTAAGATCGACATCTCGGGTCATATCTAAGTCGCTCAGAGGCACGTTGGTCCATTTGACCGCTGCCATCGGTTTCAATCCCTCTCTCTTGACTCCACCTGAGGAAGGGGTGGAGTAGTGAACCTGGGCTCGCTTAAAATCGTGCAACGGATCATGCAAGAGATCGATGAAGGCATCGAACGGAATCGCAGGTGCATTCTCCAGCCCACCCTCCGGCAACAGATCCGATGCTTGAGTCTTGGTAGCTAACGAATCGGGAGCAGGAGCGGAAGAGATATAGATGTAGAAGTCAAGTTGCGATCCATCTGCCCAGATGGGAACTGCTACATTGGGTGGTCCTTTGACCTGCGGTGATTGGACACTGAACCCGCCACTAACAGCTGCACTGTTGGTTGGGATGTTGGCTCCTGCTGTTGCATCTGCAACAGCTGATCCCGTGGCAGGCGAGGCGGAAGGTGCAGAGGGGGCCTCTCGACCGAAGAGTTGCCTAATATAGCCAGCAACAGGACTCTTTGGGTTGGTAACAGCGTTGACGCCGGCGTACATGAGCATCGCTCGGGCCAGCGTCCATTTCCAGTCGGTTGCTGGTCGGTCAGGTTGCGCACCGGCAGCTGCTGGTGGTGGACCAGCACGGGCTCCAGCGGAAGACATCTTGTTTGGATGATGCTACCTGCTGGGTTTGTCGAGTGGGTGTTTGACGGTGGTGGTGTACAAGAGAAGAAGTAGTGTCCGGGGGCGGGGTGGCTTGAGCACGGTGCAAGCTTGGAAGAAATGCGGTCTTTTTCATTGGAGGTCAACTGACCGACGCAGTGCGGTGAAGTCCGCAGGAACCCTGAGCAGGTTGCGCGCTCGAAAAGCAGCAGGGTTGATACTCAAAGCTTCGCCTCACAATCGCTCCGCATCTTGATGGAGCTCACATTCGTAATGGTTCACGATGCTCGATCTCGACAGCAGACATTGCTTGCTCTCATGATCAAACTCAATCAATATTTTAGAGATGTTTGCTAAATCTTATATTCTTCCATCAACTAACAACTACTTCTGTCAGCTCAGAGCTCCATACTGATGTCATCCCGATCATCTGCATCGTCAAGCACCTCATCCTCAAAGGATGCCAGTCGCGAATGAGCTGAGCTACTAATCTCTTGCTCAGACGCAGTATCGTTCATCATGGCCACATCCTCGCCTTCGTAGCCATCTCCGCTGACCAGACTGCCGCGGCTGCTCATGGGTCGTCGCTGCACAGCACTCAGATGCTGAGCTGCCTGTTCGAGACCACTGACGATGTTGGAGGCAGATGGCTCGTTGACCTCCTGTCCGCTAGTGCGGCGTACGGGCGTCTGGGCCAGAGGAGACGAGACCATCGATGGGCGGTAACCTTGCAGTGTCGATGTCTCGCCCATAGATTCGCCGTATCCGAATCTCGTTCCGTGACCTCCAAACTGACTGAATCCACTGGCAGAACGCTGCTGATGCAGTCGGTGATGCGGTTGAGGTGTCTGGCCACGTACCATGCCAGGATGGAATGGAGCTTGACCATACAAACCTGCGTATCTAGTTGCTCGAGACGTAGCTCCAAGCTCTTCGTCATCAGATCTAGCACCCATAGCCATCTCAGTGTTCTCACCTGGCGCGCCTGCTTCGGGCGACAACGACCTCTCCGGTGAAGAAGCCTCAGCTCGCACTTCAGCGATACGATGCTGCATGCCCATACCAGCAGGTCTCCTGGTAGCCCAGTGACCCAGCATCTGATCGATCTCGCCGGTCGCAAAGTCCTGCTCACCAGCTGCGCCAGGGGTGGCACGTCCGCCAAGCGCAAGCTCGTCCTCCTCGCCGTTCTGCGATGCAATGACAGGAGGTGGCAACGGTCTTCCAGCAAGGTCGGTGCGCTGAGGCGCTTGAGGCGGGATTTCGCCCTCTCGAGCACGGAGACCGGCGGCAGCAGCTGCTGCAGCGAATGCAGGCAGTATGCCTTGAGTTTGTGCAAGCCTACGCTCGGTCTCGTCTTCGCTGATGTCGGAGCCGTCCACTGTGTCCAAGCTAGCCAGGCTGGTGACCCTGCGATCGCGCAGATCTTGAAGCATCATCGTTGATGGCAGACCCATGGAGCCAGGCAGGACGTTACGACGGGAACTTCGCGGAGCCTGTGCAGGGCTGTCGATCAAGGATGTCCTCGAGGGTGACAAAGTATTTGAGGCGAACTGCCCGGACGGAACCGCTACGCTCCCGTTTATAGCACCTCTACCGGAGGCGAACCAAGTCGACGTTGATGGCTCGCCTGGGGTAGTCGCATCTGCATAGGGCGAAGGCATCATGCCGAGGTGGGGAGCACCAGGTCCTTGCGACGACGGGCCATTCATCCACGTCTCGTTATCCTCACTGGCGCTGACAGCATGTCTCTGCTCAGGGACCATATCCACAGAGGATGACGAAGAGGAGACATGACGATGCATTTGCGAGGGACCGCCACGCTGGGGTTCGACCAGTGCGTTTGCTCCAGCTTGACTAGGGCCAGGCTGGTCCTGCGATCTGTCCATCCTGAACCTGGCCCGAATTTCAGCTAGAGGATCTGCGCTTGCACCAGCGTGTGTGTAGTGGCCACCGGGAGTTTGTACATTGCGAAGCGTGTCAGAGATGCGAGTGCCCTGCGGCCGCGCTTCGCCACCATCCTGCCACCTTCTACCGCGTGTACGGTTGTCGTCTAGCCCGTCAATGTCGACATCCTCTGGACGTGTACGTCCCTGCGTTCGAGGATCGCGAAGCACATCGACGGGCTCGGTCGGGATTTCAGCAGCGAAGCCGGCAGTATCAGCAGCATTGGCTGCCATAGGGACAATGTGAGGAGCAGTGGCTGCCGGGTCACGGCCATCCTCTTGTCGTCCAACTCGATGCGGGTCGCTAGCCTTCTCACGCTCTTTGTCCTTAGCTTCATTGTCGTCCGTCTTGGCGCTGCACCAGTATCGATGGCCCATCTGCCAGCCTTTGCTCTGGCATTGCTTGCTGCAGTACTTGGCTTTGCGACAGCGACGACACTTGGCAAACTCTCGAGGGTACTCTTCCCACTTGCCACACAGCATGTTGGCGCACTGACGAATGCCGCCTCGCGACTCGTCCTTGCGACATGCATTGCGCATGATGACGCCAGCCCAGTACTGAATTTCCATCGATAGTCGAGGAGCAGGATACGCGGCCGAGTTACTGCGAGAGGATCGCAAGGTGAACTTCTCAGCAATCGAGAAGACGTTGCGACGTGGAGGCTCGGACGGGTCCCAGCTCTTGTTACGCTTTGTGGCCTGTTCCAACTCTTCGTTGAGGGTATCCATTGGACCCATGAGCGATGCACCAGTGAAGTCGGAGGAATGGAAGAGAATCCGAACGTGTGCATATTTGGAGAGATAGGCAAGCAACTGGAGACTGAGCAGGACTTCCTCTTCGCGATAGACAACTTCAATGCCATTGCGTGCGTTGTTGTCAGCGAGGTGGCTCAGCTGCACGACTGCTGGATGAGCAGCGGCTGCATCTGCGGTGGGCTGAGCGTTTCTCGGGACGGCAGTGCGCGCATCATCGCGAGCAGTGGCATGTCGATGTTGATGCTGATGTTGATGCTGGTGATGATGATGGTGGTGATGGTGAAGTTGGCGGGTATCTTGGTGGTGCTGAGTGGTGTTCGCAGGGACGTCAGTTGTCTGGTGCGCGTGATGGTGGTGGTGATGGTGGTGATGATGGTGATGATGAGGGTGGTGTTGATGCTGCTGTGGCTGCTGTGGCTGTTGCTGATGCTGAACCTGAGCTTGAGGAGCTTCCTCATTGTATAGCTGCGGTTGGCGATGCTGCTGCTGGTGATAGTCGAAAGCCGAGTTGCGATGATCGGCGGCGGCCTCTTGCGAGCCAACCTGTGCTGCGAGTGCCGTGGAAGCCAAGTTGGTCGAGACAGTGTCACGAGAACCCGATGCGGCAGAGTAATCGCGCGAAGGTCGCACAGTGTCCTGTCTCTCAAACAGGGGCGGTGCTACCGCGTTAGTCGGTCTGTTGGGAGTAATGTAGCTTTGAGCTGATCGCAGTGGCGAATCCTGACTGGTCAAAGGAGCCAGGGCGCGGCGAGCTGGACGTGGCGTTCGACGTTCCTCGACGTCTTCGTCAGCATCGACAGCGTTCTGACTACTGATAAGCATGTGGTCAGAGTCAACGGACCGTGTTGCCGACGACTGAACCGCGTCAACTTCGCTGTCGTCTGCATCATCCGCAAACATCTCTGCATCTTCTGCGCCGTCGGATCCACTGCCACTAGCCTCGGCCGCGTGGTTGCGAAGGTCTTCGGAAGAGCTCACGCCAGCGAGACTACTGCCATCTGCCTGCGCTGATGATAAGGCTCGAGGCGTACCGTCTGGTCCCACCGAAGATGCGCCACCAGAAGAGAGCGACAAGGGGTCGATGCTTTCGATCAATGGCATGGTACCATGAGCTTCGTTGGCGTCAACAACAGGCATGGGCGAAGCTTGCGGCGGAAGGAAATCATCGACGCTGCTCTGCACTTCCATGCCGACAAGTACAGAGGATCGGCGTGCAGACACAGGATCTTCGAGTGGTGTGGTAGGCCTTGTCTCTGTCAGCAGTTGACCCTGAGTATTAGAGGATGCAATCCGTGATGGCTGCGCCGGTGCGTAGTGGGCTGCGTGTGTGGGCTCGACCGCTGCGTTGGGAGCCGTGTAGGTTGCATCGGTGTAGTGAGCATGCGTCGAACGAATTGGCGCCTGGGATGCGAGAGTATCCTGAGCTGCGTGCGTGCGCCGTGTGCGTTCGTGATCGACTGGTGACAAATGTGCGTGGGAGGTGGAGGCAGCAACCTCGATGCGATCTCGGCTAGAGCGATCCTCGTGACGGGCTTCGTGACGTTGGTGATGAAGGAGAGCCTCCTTGCGCCTCTCGTCCTTGAGCCTGTCCATGCTTCGAAGGTAGGACTCGAGAACGCGAATGGTGACGGGCACCATGCCCGCTTCGACGACCCTTGTCCTTACACTCTCGCTACCGCGGACGCCGATGTTGACAACGCACTGGAAGGCAAGACTCCACTTCCATACAGTCTGCATTTCCTTCATGGAGAAGGCACGAAGCTGAGGCGAAGGCGTCTTTGGCACGCTGCGAAGGATGCGGATGAGACGTTCGAGACCTCCATCAAGGGTGACCATCTCACGGATGCGTGGTGAGGTTGAGGTGAGATAGGCAAGATGGTTGAGTGAGTTGATGAGCGGCAATGTGGCGGTGCAGTCGATGGCTCTTCGGTCATAGACGGCAGATGAGATGCAAACGCTCGCCTTGTTCTGGGCGGGATTGCAGAAGTTGGACTCCCTCATCGTGCCGATGCTAGGTCACGTATGCAAATAGGTGCGTACGGACAGCGAAGTTTGCGGAAATCTGATATCTGTACACAATGCTACGTGGAGTTGCCAAGATAGATGCGCGGCGAATGCCGTTGGCGCGAAGGTGTGAGTCGCCGGATTGGATGCGAGGGCTACAAAGCTTAAAGGGCGTGCATGGACGTCCGAGCTTAAGTTGCGGCTACCTGATTGTACGACAGCCAGATACGTGTTGAGCGATGGTGTTCAAGGTTGTCAATGGTGGCTGCAAGAGCTAGCGAAAGACTTATTATCGCGCTGATAGAGATGAACGAGGGAGTGCAGACGTTTGAGAGAACAATTTGCTGCGTAAGAAGGATGCTTTTTGCGAGACGATATGCAGATGCTAAGAGACGATGGACGAGGGTCGACTGGATCGTGAACGAAGCGGCAAGAGGTAAGAGATGTTTTGTTGATGAGGATGACGAAGACTGTGCAAGAGTACATGCAAGCAGCGCGTCGTCACTGCCGGAGTTTATGCGGTTGGCAGGAGACTGAGCCAAAACTGAGTTGACTTTGGCTGTACTGAAAGACGCTGCTGCGAACCAAACTGAGCGTGCAGAATGCTGTTTTGTCGATGTCGAACAGTGACTGAACAAAAAGGTTTGAAGAGGTAGAGATGCAATAGTCGAATGTCGAGAATAGAGGTTTACGAAACGAGGATCCGATTCGAGAGATGACAGGATAGTGAAGAGCAAAGCAAAGCTCAGCCGAAGGAGCGATGAAGGTTGAATCAATCGTGAGAGGCCAAGGCGCGACACAGTGAAGAGGCAAGCGAGAGTGAGGCTGAGAGGCTGAGACCGAGACTGAAGCAGAGACAGAGACTGTGTGACTGCAATTTGCTGCAAGCTTCTAGCTGGCGCTTGCTGTTGCTGCTCATCTCTTCCGCTCAATTACGGCTCCGCCAGCAGCAGCAGAACGCGGAGAGCACCAAAAGAGGCTGGCGACGATTTCGCCTCAGCCAAAGTCGAGTCGAGCCAAAACTGAGCTGGCTAGCTGGCTGGCTGGCTGGCTAGAAAAGCAGTCAAAGTCCAAATTTTACACAGGCGAGGCGAAGCGAAATTTTGGATTCAGAGAGGGTCAAGCCCATACGACTGTGACTGTGTGTGTGTGTGTTGCTCTCGCTGTGCTGAGCCTTCTTTTTCTTTGCCTGGCTCTTGCTTGGTTGCGTGCTCAAGCCCGACTTGATGTGAACTTGGCTCCAAGTTCATGTTTGCCATGAACAGGTGCTGGCTGTTTCTTCATCTTTGACCCGCCCCTCGGACCCTTCCGTAAGCTCGAAGAGGTTGCAAAAATAGATCCCGATCTCATTTTCCCCGATTCACCTAGCGGCCTTTCTGTTACAATTTTGCTCGCTCTTTTCTCCTTTAGGGGGTATCAAAGTTTTTGCGTTTTTAAAAACGCGGGTTTTTTCAAGAGCGCATTTTTCAAAAAAACGCAAAAGCTTACATAAGCTGCACAAAGGAAAAAAAAAAACCCCGCATTTTTAAAAATGCAGCTCAGGAGATGCTATTGTGAAAATGCAGAACAGTTATCACTCCACATCTTCTCTCCTTTCCTCACTCTTGTCACACTTTTGCTCACTCTTGTTGCACTTTTGCTCACTCCCTCTTCCTTGCACTCATTCAACATGACCTCCTCCACTGATGATTCTCATGACATCTCTGCAGAGTTGTTATGCCAGTCCTCTACACCTACAATCTCTGCAACTCACATTGAAAGTGTGCCTGCACTGTCTCAATCTGGTTCTATAAGCACTTCTGACATCTGCACTTCCTGTCTAACTTGAACCTCTAGATCTGCCACAGGCAAGAAGAACTTCACATGGTCAGGTGCCAATGTTCTTCACCTTGTCACGATCCTCTACAACAGTGACTCCTACCAGCATGCTCTGCTGCCATCTCAAGAATTGGCTGAGAGCAATCCAGCCCTCAAGCTTTGCAAACATCCCATTTTTTGGGAGATCTCCAAGATGATTTTCCCAGGCACATCTGTCAATCCCAATTGCATCAAGGCCAAGCTGAGGTGGCTGCTAGAGACATACTACAGGGAGAAGAAGATGCTTTCACTCACTGGAGCTGGTACACTGCTGGAGGACATGGATGCATCCTGTCACAGGGCCAGCGCAGAGATTATAAGCAGCCATGCTGCGCAGCCGCCGAAATGAGCTCAGCACACCAGAAGCGGAACTGGTCGAGACCCAGGGGCTCTGACCAATCTTGTAAGCGGTCACGTGCCAGAGACTTAGTTTTGGGGTGTTATATTGAGTTTGATTGAGTAAGGTCTACTCATTATGTTTCACCTAAACATAACCAAATGTGGCCACCTGGTAAGTCTTGACTGACTGCCTTGAACACTCCATTCAGAGGTTGCATGGCATGGACACTGGTCATTGGTGAGTGAGTGAAACACCCTCTCCTACAGTATGAGTGTTTGTAGTACTGTTGATAATGCTCTTGGATGTTGTCTGGACTGCAATATGCTAATTGCCTACAGAGGACAGGAGTTACTGGACCACAGGTGTGAGTCACTGCCTACAATAACTGACTGGACTGCAGGTGTTGAGCAACACTGCCTACAGCAAGGGACTGGACTGCAAGTGTTGAAGAACACTGCCTACAGTAAGGGACTGGACCACAAGTGTTGAAGAACACTGCCTACAGTAAGGGCACTGGACTGCAAGTGTTGAAGAACACCACCTACAGTAAGGGACTGGACTGCAAGTGTTGAAGAACACTGCCTACAGTTGTCAACTAACAGTGATACAACACACACATTGAGAGTTGTTGCAAGAGGACTGCTATTGCAATGGTATGTAACTGAGTAAGTAAGTAAAGTAGATAGAGTATAGAGTGGATGGGGATCCACTTGTATGCTATGGTAGAATGAGAGTATTTATGCATTCGATTGGTGTTGCCCATGACACCTATCCTGCTCCTCTTGAGGGGCCTTTGTCCCCTGTTTGACACTGTCTTGTCCTGCTGGCATCAATCCCATTGATACTGCACCCCTACCATTTGCATGGCATAAGGGTTATGCAACACTGCCCTCTCGCCTTCATGCTCTCCTTCTGCCTGATGATGTGTGATGCCCCCTTTCGACACAGCTCCTTCTTGACTTTATCTTGCAAATCCCTTTAGCCACTTGTTGAACCTCATGACCAAACCCCTTGGTCATGTGGTCACTTTGACACAGCTCCTTCTTGACCTTATCTTGTGAATCCCTTTAGCCACTTGTTGAACCTTGTGACCAAACCCCTTGGTCATGTGGTCACCCCTGTGCTTGGGCCTGTGTGACTATATGCATGCACCCCTCAAGCAGTAACTGTCTGCATGATGCTGAGCTTGGTCCCCTGCTCCCTCCTATGGTTATCTCCAAGTGCCTCTCCTTCTGATGCCAGTACCTTCCTTCCTGAGTCTCCTAGTACTTGCTCATATCGGCTGACTTGTTGAAGCATACTGATCTGACTGATTCTGACTGATCCCTGTGAGATTAATCTGGAACCCAGGGTTTGATCAATCTTGTAATTCATATGTGCTACCAGCCCAATTAATCTCATTGATCCCCAATGGTTTGGTGCCAATCAATCTGGCATGCCCTCCATATATTGATCTGTTGCACACCCTTCATACATTGCTCCATTGCATGACATTCCCATGACTGCCATTGATCAATTTGGCGCACTCTCTTGCGCAGGCCTGCTGACCCTGTGACAAATCTCACTGAGAATGGTCGGACAGTGAGCTGGGAGGAAACCTCATTGAGAATGGTCGAGATGGTGGGTACTGGGAAGTTTCACCGAGACTGGCCCAAGATGAAGTGGATCAACCAGCCCCACAATGAGATGAGGGCATCCCACTGAGATCAAAGGGACAGCCATTGAAAGCAGGGAACAAGAGACCTCACCACCAGATGAGGTGGGAGGAGACCCCTGAGCATGATGAAGTCAATGTAGGAGGATTGTCACCTCAGCAAGGGAGTAAGGATAGGAAGGGCAGGATAGTAGTAGGAGTCAGATAGGACAGGATGGACAGGGAGGCCATACCCTGTAAGGAAGGGGGGGGGCACAGTGATGTAGACACCATGGCACAAAGATATATATGCACCCCTCTGTCATAAGTGAATGAGTGGATCTGGCATCCACTCTATTCTTAACTAAACTATACTCTACTGTAATGTATACTTAGTTGTTCTGTCACATAGTACAATCACAGGCCATTGCTACTAATCCAAGCAGGTGTGTCATATCACCTCCCACTGATGTTGTCTGTAGGCAGTAGTTACTGCAGTCCAGATAAGCACTACTCCAAAGGCAGTACTCATACTGTGGTCTGGGCTTCTCTCATTGTTTTGCTGTTTGCTCATCAACACCTCGAACACTCATGTTGAGTCAACAAATCCCCATTCCATACATTAAGTGTTCTGCAACAAGCAGGAACTGACTGTGCTGCATTACTGCTGAACCAAGTGTTCACAGCAGTTAGCCAAAACTTGTTGAACAAATAATCCTTTGAGCAGTTTCAGTGAAAGTGGCTGATGGGTGCATACTCAAGCATGCTCACTGAAACTGGTTGAAATCACCCAAACCGGTAGCATTCGGGTTCCAGGCACACGACTGCTGACACATCCAACCCGGTAAGTTTTGGCAATCTTCATTGCTTGCAATGGTATGCTTGGATGCTGATTCATACTTTCAATTTTAAACAGTCCTATGTATCTCACATTGCCCTGTCAATAAAGTATGCTTGGTTTGAAAGGATGCACAAGATGATGAATGGCCAATTCTATGCTGATCCTGCAGCACTTATCACAACTCCCAGTCTTGACTTCACCAGCAATGATGAGGCTGACATGCCTTCAAATGGCTCAGCTGACACACCCATGGATATTTGTGGCAGTGAGCTGTACAATCACAGTGCTCACAGCTGTGGTTTGCCTCCTATTCTCGACTTGATGGA